TTTTAAAATACTTTTAAATATTGAAGTTATTACATCTTGTAGAATTTTTACACCAGGACCCGAAGGAAGAAATGAACCCTGATTTTTTTTTTATTGCATTTTTACTAGGTTCTTTTTATTTTTTTATAGATTTGTATGGACTTTTATAGGTTTGAATTGAGATGTGCCAAGTTATTTTGTGGAAATGCAACCCAGAAGGGGCACTATTTCATAGATGTCGATGCCGTCAATCCTGAGATAGGGATCAGAATATGGAGGTTGGGCAAAGTTTTAAAACTTCATCATACCTGTGAAGGGCAACATGGAAGTCACCGTGTGAATAATTACAACTTGACTCCTTGTCACGTGGACTTGTTAACCCTGTGTTGTTGAACATCAGCCAGTGATAGGTTATCAAACTGCCAATCTTGAAGACATTGGCATTGAACAGATTTCCTTTGGGAGAATATTTTAACTTTTCTATCAGTTTACTAATCAACTTTTAGTTACTTTTTTTTAAATGATTTTTTGACTCTCATTAGTGGAAATGATTTAGTTTCTAAGTATTCGGAGCCGGTAGGTAAATGTGACTTTGAACTTTGACTGTTTGTACTGAAAGTCGTAATACTGACTGTTCCTGATGTAGCTGGCAAGTATCGGGAATAGCCGTGCTGGTAAGAGGCGTCAGCAAGAGTCACGTTGAGCAACAAATGACTTGAAAACAGAATTGTAGAAGGATTCAGTTAGTTATCTCATCATTTTGTGGGGGTTTTTTTTGAGAAAATAAACCCACTTCTATTATACTTTCCTAATGCAACTAGTACCTAAGTGGTGAAAATGGCAGATACTCAAAACTCAATTTTATGAAGAAGGAAAGGAGCACAAAAAAGGTCAATGGGGCTTCTTGTAATTCACTTGAGAAGCTGTGAAGCGCAGTGCTGGTGGTTTTGGTGGTTTGATTGTTGGTTGTTTTTTTTTTAAAGCTTTATCTTTTAATCTCATTTAACAGTTTTAACAGTTCTAATACTTTCCTAAACCTTGGCTACTCCACCACAGCGGAGCAAATTGTCTATTTGAAATAACACACATCATAGTTTGGTAACAAGAGCTGCTAAATATCAGGAGGCCAGGTTTGGTGTCCTGCACTGTGCTCCCCAAGCTTAGAATAAGCCTGTACAGTACTAAGAAGTGTTAGTGGTGGTTGTAGATCGTGAACATTTGGAGAACAATGGACTTAACTCAAAGGGGCAGCTGGCACACAACTTTGTGGACAAACAAGTTTGACCAGACTTGATTTAACACCATTAGCCTTCAGGGACAGGGAGCAGGTTGCTCAAAGTCCCGTCCAACCTGACCTTGACGGGGACGGGGCATCCACAGTTTTTCTGGGAACCTGGGCCAGTGTCTCACCACCCTCAGAGTGAAAGATTTCTTCCTTATATCTACTCTAAATCTACCTTCTTTTAATTGACTGTAGCTTGTTTCTGCTCCATAGTCACATACTGCTTGTCTGTTTAATCCACAGAGGACTAAAGCTGCTGTTCTAAACTGGGGTCTGTAATGGCAGGATTACACACCAGTCTGGTTTTAATTTAGGAGAACCCAAGTAGGCACCCTGGTCATGTAATTTTAGCTTTCTTCGTATCTTAAAACAACCGAGCAGATCTTGTAAAATAGTTGTTTAACTGTCCTTGCATGGCAGGCAGCTCTGTTTTACAAAGCTTTGGCCTGGGGCAGGGTTTTACAGTCCCATTATAAACTCAAACCCAGGAGCTGGTTTTAATGGGAATGTTAATAGGTCCATAACCAGAGACATGGGTTGTGTTTCTATAACTTGAGCTATCAAATTTATTGCTCTTTTGGTACCTCATAAAGAAAGCAGTGGGATTTTATTTTTTTTCAAAAGTTGTAAAGAACCCCAAAAAGATCAAATTCTTAAGGAAAACTGCTTTTCTGATTTTTGCCTAGGAGGTTGTTTTACCTTTAAAAACCTCTGTCCCATAAAACCTGTGAAAGCTGACAATACCCTGTACAGTCAGTCCCATGTTTGATTCCAAAATTTTAAGCTCAATGTGATGTATATGAAAAAATTGTAATAGTGTTTTGCCTGCCCATTGAAATAACGCTGCCTGAGAGCACTTCTGTAGGTAGACACTGATGTCTCTCATCGCTTCGCTGTTTGCTGCTCCCAAGGGGTGTAGATTGTCCATATTAAGTCTGGTCAGATGTCTTCTTAACGCTTGTTTTCATATTTTCCTGTAGCTTTTCTCCCTGTTCTTTTTCTGCCAAATGAAACTTGATGAATGTTTATGTTAAGTGGGTGGAATACGGCAAATTAATATTAAAGCAGGCTTTCTTTTAGTTCTCCTTTACTAAAAAAATTACTTATTTCATAGAATGGTAGAGTGGTTTGGGTTGGAAAGGACGTAAAGGTAATCTGGTTCCAACCCCCCTGCCCTGGACAGGACACCTCCCACCAGATCAGGTTGCTCCAAGCCCCATCCAGCCTGGCCTTGAACCCCTCCAGGGATGGGGCAGCCACAGCTTCTCTGGGTAACCTGGTCTTTGGTTTGTAGCAATTTTTCCTGCCATTTGTGTACATAAGCTTGAAGAGAAGTTTTGCGTTTTCACTGGTGACTTTGAGGTGGGGCAGGTTGTTCTGAAACGGCGTTTCACTCCTGGCAGTGGCGCTACTGAAGGGCTTCATCTGCACAAATTTGTCCTGATGAAATTCCTCACCCTGTGGCCATTCGGAGTTTCATGACGGTACTTTAACCTTGTAGAAGAGGAGCCCTGCAGTTAGGAGTGTGTACGGTCATGTTGGCTTGGGGAAATTTTTTACCTGCTTCAGCTTCAGCTTCAAATCAAGCTTTCTATGAGAACAGCTCTCAAGCTGATGAGGGTAGGTCAAGAGTAATGTGGCTGAGGGGTTCCTGGCATTTTTGGGTCTGCATCTGTTGGTTTAGGGTGGACAGGAGGAAGAGTTTTAACGTGGGCCTAAAGTTGGCTTAGTACATTAGTATTTATTTCCAGAGAAGAGAAAATAGAGCAAGGTACAAAGGGTGTAATGGTTTCTTGGATTTTCAGATGGGGATTGAAACTAAACTCAACTTGGCAGGTGGGGAAGTCCCTCAAGGCTCAGGCACTGGGGGAAGGGGAGAAGTGTCTCCTTGGCCTACTCTTACCATCTTCCCTGAGGGCAGGACATTAGAGGCCTTTTGTCTGACCTAGGACTGCCAGTTTTAGTGATGAATACAATTCAAGGGTTTATTCAAGAGGTAAAGGCACGCTGCACAGCTGGGCTGTTCGAATCCTCTTTATCTTCTGGGCCTGAATTATGTAGATGCTTCAGATCCTTGTGTTAGACTTCAAGTCCTGTTTTAGCCTCTAGCAAATGTTGTTATCTACAGTATGAAGATTTCAGGCCTTGATATTGGAGGCTCTGGATTCCTGTTAGCTGAGCTCATGGTGTTTTGGGTAGCTGCTTCTGGAGGGGAGGCCTTCCCACCCTGCCCATGACCACCAGCTGCTTCTACCGGTGTTCCTCTGTGCTTGTCTAATGTCTACAGTGAGGTACTTCAGGCAGCTGTGGTGTAAATCACCTTTTTGTCTTTTTTCCTAATAATTTCCTCAAGTGGTTGTCAGGAAGGTGGGCAGAGCATTGTGGTGGGTGGCAGGTTGAGGTTGGTGGAGCACCGTGGCGGGTGGCAGGTTGAGGTCGGTGGAGCACCGTGGCGGGTGGCAGGTTGAGGTCAGCAGAGCACTGTGGTGGATTGAAGTCAGCAGAGCCCCATGGCAGGTGGCAGATTGGTGGCTGAAGCTCTCTTGAGGGGCAGCCAGACATTATGGGTGCTCTGGGTTTATCTTCTGCCTCACAGTGAAGTAACTGAAGGCTCAGGCCCTCAGTAGCAGTGCTGCCTGCAGCAGCTTCCCTCTCCTCCACCCCCTTGGCGCAGGCCAGCTTTACTACCAGAAAGGCGTTCTATGCCAAAAAGATCAAGTTTATTTTATTTTTAACATCTCCAGATTTCCAAAACTGTCTCCCTCCTGGCTGCTCGCTGGGAGGAGGAGGTACACAAATCTCGGTGCACTTGTCCAAGCCCTGGAGCAAAGCCCTGCAGTTCTTTGCTCTTTCCAGCCAGCAGACTGGAATGATGCTGGGGAGCATGTCAGGCGAGGGAGGAGGTTTTGTTTGCTCTTTTTCTCTTCTCTTGCACTGATTTCTCAGACACCATCTGCTTGTGGCTGATTAATTTGCGGCAGTAGCCAAGAGGCAATTTTTTGCTCTTTTTTCTTTGAGATGCAGACTCATACCATGGTGTGTGCCTTTTGCCACCGTTCTTGGAAATCACTTGGAAACTGGGCTGATCGATGATAAAACTTGGCCACTTATTTAGTACTTAATGAGAGGAAGGACAGTAGGGTTCTTAATGGTTCCTTGGCAAAAAATGAATTTAGCTCTGGATGGTTTTGAGTGACGCCACTTCTCAAAACAGCACAAAATGAGTGATGTGACAATGTCTTGGCCTTAAACAGGAGAACCTGGTGCTGGTGTGTGGTTTCCTAGTGGGAAGCCTCCAGTTGGGTGACTGGGCTGTCAGGGTTTCCCCGTGCTGATCTTCAGAGGCTTGTTGCAAGTCCAGACTTGGCGGATTTTAGGGATGGGAACTCCTGTTAAACTGGAAGGCACTATTCCATCTTGAAGGCTTTGGCAAAGGCCTGTGTTAAGTCATTGAGGAACAAGAGGGAGAAGTCTTGCCAAAGATAACGATTTTGTTAATGATTGTGTTGTTAAAAATTGGGATCACTTGCTCCAAGGGGCTTGCAATTTCTCTGGTAGTCATCTGGGCTGGTTTTTATGGTTGTAGATGTTTAATTATTTTAGGAGGGGACTCCAAAAAAGGTAACTAAATGTCCCTTAAAAATAAATCTTTATTGATCTCTGGTAAATGCTTTGTATGAATCGGTGTAAGATGCAGATATAACTAAAATGAATTTATTTTTTTGTTTCTCTTCCCTAGAATATGACAGATACCTAGCATCTAGCAAAACCATGGCAGCAGCTTACCTTGATCCAAACTTGAATCATACACCAAGTTCAAGTGGAAAGACCCACCTCAGTACTGGGATGGAGCGTTCCCCGGGGGCCATGGAACGAGTCTTAAAGGTTTTTCACTACTTTGAAAACAGCAGTGAACCGACAACGTGGGCCAGCATTATCCGCCATGGAGATGCTACCGATGTCCGAGTAAGTCTGTTTTTAACATTCTTTTGCCATCTTTAGATTAAGTGTTAACTTCATGCTCAAAGAGTGAGAGGAAGAAGGTCTGAAAGCAAACACACACACAAGTTCTGTGGTTTATTTTAAAAGAATCTTTATCGGTTGTATATTTTGAGTAGATTCAGAAAAAGCTTTAGGTGGTATCAGTTTCCCTTGAGAACAAAACCCCCTGATTTGTGATTGTGTATTATCTTAAAGATGTGAGGCATTTTTGCATACTAGAAATTTGAAATTTAGAGCAGTGGTTCTCAGTGTAGATACCACTACTGATGTATGTCAGCTGACTTCTACCACGTCATGCTCCCCAAAAGCCTGAGTGACACTTCATGGCAGGGATGGTGACATTAAATGATTTTTCATGTTTAAAAAAAAAATAATTACATGTTTAAATGTAAGGTGTGTGTATGAACATATTTAAAATGTTTAAATGTAATTTGTACATGACTTTTCTTAAAAAAAAAAAAGTCTTGTTTGAAAACTCATTCCTCCAAAGTATGAGGGAACTGAGCTGAAGAATCCTTTCTTCGCCCAGTAAGTCCCATTGTCTGGCCCTCGCTGCCATCCTGGTAGTCACCTGCTGCTTGGGTGTGTACAGTGTGGTCCTTCAGTTAGTCCGTGCAAAAAAACCCAACGGTTGGGATTTTTTAAAGAATAAGCATCTGTAATCTTATAGGTATATGGAAACGTACGTTTGTTTGAAAAAACAGTGTTTATTGTGAAACAAACATTCTCTCTAATGCCGAGGCCTTTACTTACTATTTGCTGCTCTTACTCTTTAAATTTTTGAGGTGGTGTGGTATTTAAACTGCAGTGAAGCTCAATTCAACATGTCAAATGCTTTGAAAACTTTGTGGTTTGCTTGTTTTTTAATTATCCTCCTGGAGCGGAATCTTGCGTGGTGGTAGGTGGTGTGTGGGGTTGTTTTCTTCTGAGAGGTTCTTGCTGTAGAAGCAGGTTCCCATCTGCTCGTTCCTTCCAATCTCTGCACGGTGCCTCAAATTCCACTGCAAAGACACAGTTCCAATCTGCTGAAGGGACACAGAGTTGTCAGAGTTAGAGAGACCTGTTGTCTCCTCCTGCCCACTATTAAGTTTGCAAGAGAAAACTAAAAAAAGGCTAAAGAGTTTAGAATGTTTTCCTTTCTACTGTTTATTTTTGAGCATGGCTGCGTGTGATAAGACATAAGAGCATTCCTGAGCGGAGTAGATCTTGTGACAGTGGTCACAGACCTGTGAAATTCCAGGATTTTCATTGGTGCTGATCAGAAAATCTGTCTCTTGTCAATTTAATACGCTCACGTTTAGTGTTTAGGGATAACTTGGTGAATGGGCAGATTAGAGGTACAACAATGGGAATCATGATCATCAATAACATACACATATTTTAAGTGGAATAAGATTTTTTTCAGTGCCACTTGAAACTTCTTTGCTCCCTGGCTGAAGTACAGTGGTTTGATAGATATCTAACATTATTGATTCGTTTCATAAAGTGTATTACTTGGTACAAGGGTAGAAGAAGTGAGCCTCGGTATGTTTTTAACCTTGCAAGCCTCTACTGTGGATGGATGTCTAGGATTCTTTATACGGTACTTAAAATCGAGGTTATCTTTCCAAAGAAGTATGTAGAAACTTGAAAAAAACAAAAGCAGAGATTACATCTCGGGTTTCTCCAGCTCAGAAATACCTGTGGTTGTGGGCTTTAAGGATCCAAAATTTACAGTCCCTGTAAGAAATTCAGCGCTGAGTTCGGTTTGAGAGTTGCATATCCTTATTTTAAGCAAAAATATGTCATTTATAATTGAAGGTGGATCAAAAGAACAGGAAAGTAGCAGCTACTTGAGGCTTGCCTTAATTTTTAGTTTTCTTTTATCCACATTTAATTGGATTTTTTTTTAAACTAATGGGATTTTTGTATTGTTCTGCTTTCCTAATAAAGAAGAATATGATGAGTTGGTGTTAAACTTCATTCTTTTAACAGATGTGGGGTTTTTTTTATTTTGTTAAACTGGGTCAGTGACTGTTGAATGTGCAGGTACTCCATAGTAAAGATCTAGCACTGATGTGTTACGATGTCCTGACATTTATTTTAGAAACCATAAACCGTTGTTGAGTACAAGCCTACATTCCAATGGAGTGACTGCTGTTCGACCAAGCTGAATAATTTAAGATTAAAATAGCCTTTAAGGTTTTTATGCCTTAGTTTTACCCCCTCCCTCCTTTTGTGGAGAAGACATTCTGCAATAGAGCTTCTGTTTCTTCTGAATTACAAACTGAGGAGCCTGGTGCTGGGTTTGGTTTTTGACTTTTTTCCAAGGAGCTCTTCAAGAATATTGAGAGGTGGATGTCTTTGAGACAGCTCTGCAATTAAAAGGAAAAATAAATAAATGAGTAAATAAAGGATTTTCAAGACTCCTCCCTGGCTAGCACAGCTTCTGGAACGATAGCTGAGGAACCTTTCCAGTATTGAAAGGAAGTCAGACGTGGTCTGAAATCTCCAGGAGAGCTAATTAAAGGTATTTCTGCTGGTAAAGTGGAGGAATTTGTGGAATGTTCTAATGCCAAGGGAAAAGAAGGGTGGAATTTTCTTTCCTGGTTTGTGATTTCCAACATCATCTGTTTCTAACAAAGTCAAGTCTGCCTTTGTCGATGGAAAGGATGTGCTTGGCAGTCTAAGAGGTGAGGAAAAGCCCTTTTCCCATAAGAAGAAAAGAAAAAGATCTTTATGACTTCTTAAAAGTGGAAACAGTGCGTTGGTTGTTTACATTATACACAAATCCTCGATTGTGAGGGAGAACCCTTGTCATTAAAAAATTCATGTTGTTAAGCTCAGATGAACAGGAGTTACCTTTCTGTGAGAGTCTCTCAAGTGTCTAGACTAAAGGAACGATTTCCTCGCTATTGGACTTGAAACATCTTTACCCGTGACAACAGCGTGTCTATGTGTAGGCTTTGCTTTGAGGAGAACTTCTGGCTGGGGACCTCTTGTTTATTCTGGATGGGTTTAGTCCCTCAAAGCCAGCTGTTTCCTTTGAGGGATGAGTCTGTGTGTTCTGCAAAGGATTCAAGGGCAGCTTTTCAATTCTTGGAAATGCTTTCTTGGATTTCAAAGAACTGGCATGCTCCCTTTACTGCCTTTCCCCCTTTTTTCCTTAGTGTAATACTAAAGACGGGCTTCACTTCCAAAAGAAAAACCAACAACAAAAAAAAAAAAGAGGTTTTTATGAATGTGCAAACAGCGGTCTCCTACTGCGAAATGTGTATCTAGCGTTCTCCCAGCCACGCGCGTGACGGAGAAAGAAAGGTTGTTTATCTTCTCTCTTTTTATCTCCAGATTTCTTCATTTGGATGTGTTGTCTCCGTGCATATTTAGAGAGGGAATTCCAGGGCTGTGGGGTTGGAGAGGACGCAGGGGGCAAGCTCTGCCCTGTTCCCAGCCCCAGGTGTGACACGGGAGTAGGTGGTGGGTGTTGCTGAGATGGGAATTTCTTTGGTCTCAAGTGCACCCTGGAAGTAAAGGCTGCCACCGCATCTTCACCAGTGCTTGGGGGTAAATCTGTCCCTGTTTGAGGTAAAACAGAACCAAATTTCTGTTCAGTAATTTTACATCTTAGTTAGGCCTCTTCTAACTCGCTGAAATTAATGGCATATTGTGGAGAAAACTGCTTGTTCTCAGGGTAATAAGACCAATGTTTGTGCTTCATGCCAAGGAATGGTGTGCGGAGAGGCTCTTGCTTGTATTTATTGCTGTAACAACCAAGGTCAGCTAATTTCATTCTTTGCGCCATTGGAGGGTCGGAAACAGAAAAATCATAGAGGAGTCCCACCTGTGGGGTGGAGAGGACAGGACTGCTTCTCTCAGGACTACCTAAAACTGAACTGTATGACTAAGAACATCGTCCAGATGCTCCGTGAACTCTTGAAGGGGTCGGTGCCATGACCAGTTCCTTGGGGAGCCTGTTCCAGTGACTGACCACCCTCTCAGTGAAGAATCTTTTCATAATGTCCCGTCTGAACTTATCCTGACTCAGCTTTATTCCATTCCCTCATGTCCTATTGCTGGTCACCAGAGGGAGGAGATCAGTAACTCATCTCAAGTCAAGAGCACATCCTCCATTAGCCTGGATTCCCTGTGGAAAGATGTGTGGAGACACCTTGGATGACTGATCTGTGTATGGCTTCAGTGTGAGAGGGGCTGAGGTGTTTATGTGGATGTGTTGCTTGGGTTGATGATATCTCTGGACTTGCACGGTGACAAAATTTGCTCTCTACAATTCTCTCAAAGGAGGCTGTAGAGAGATGGGGGTTGTTCTCTTCTCCCAAGTAACAAGCAATAGGGCAAGGAGAAATAGCCTCAAGTTGCACCAGGGGAGTTTTAGATGGGATATTAAGAAAAATTTCTTCACTGAAAGGGTTATCAAGCGTTGGAACAGGCTGCCAGGGCAGTGGTGGAGTCACCATCCCTGGAGGTATTTAAAAGACAGGTAAACGTGGTGCTGAGGGACATGGTTTAGTGATGGTTTAATCAGAGTTAGGTTGATGGTTGGACTCGATAATCTGACAGGTCCTTTCCAACCTAGACAATTCTTTGATTGTGAAATCCTTGGCACCAGAGGAACATGTTTTTAGGCTGTAGTTTCAATATATACCTGTTTCTGGGCTCCTGCAGCAGGGTCTGTTCAGCGGGATCAGTTCCCCAGCCTGGTTTAGCACATGATGTACAAACGTGTTTGCTGGATGGGTGCAGGGGAGAGAAAGTAGCACAATAATGAGAGAGAGGGATGTGGGCTTTGCTCTTCGAATATCAGACAGTGTCATTTGAGGACAACCCTCATTTTGGTGTTTTGAGGACATTCTAGAGTTTTCCTTTATGGAAATTATAAATTAATTTACATCAGAGCTTTGTAGTTTACTTTTGTCCGGCTTTTCATTTAAGCTCCCCATATAAATCTCTCCCAAGGAGGTACAATA